TTACTACTCATGCTCCTGTTCCTACCAGAAGCTGCTCCCTCCACCATCACTCTGGATTATGTCCCCTCTAGCTCTCACTAGGGCATGAAGGCTTTAATTATCTCCTTACCCCTAAGTTGTCAGCCTCTCCCTCCCACTGCATCACCCCTGTCCTCCCCCCACACCCCAATTCCTACAGCAAGTAATAAGCTCCTGCTTCCCACAGCCTCCTGGTTCCAGCTATTTCATTCTTCCCTATCTCAACTAAAATTATCCAGACTTTTCCATCCAGGGGCAGCAGTTCTACTTGCCAAAAAAGCCCACTTAGACATGTTCCACATGCAGCCCCATTTAAATTCTTCAACTCACTCCAACTTGTCATCTAAGAATCTCACTCCTACAACTGAACTGCTCCTGCTGAAGCTAACAGTGAGCCCTTGGGTCCCACAAAACAGGGAGCCAATTTCTGTCCTCATCTGAGGGTACTGCTGGGCAGAATCCGACATGACACACAACTCCCTCCTTGACACTCTCTGCTCTTACTGGTATGGACCCAGGCAAGAAAGAGGAGTGTGGATTGTGGATCTGTAGCAGCAGAGTGGGGATGAAGAATTTTCCAAAAAAATTTCACTCAAACCCCCAACACTGTGATGAGCCAAAACTACTATTTTTTATTCTTTTCTTTCTTTCCTTTTTCTTTTTCTTTTTTTTTTTTTAAGAGACAGACTCTTGCTATGTGGTCCAGGCTGGAATGCAGTGGTAAAATCATAGCTCACCATATGCTATGATCTTCAAAATCCTAGACTCAATGTAACCTCCTGCATTGGCCTCCCAAAGTGCTAGGATTACAGGCTTGAGTCACCATTCTTGAAAAAAATTTTTTAATTTCTTTATTTAAAGGCAGGGTCTCATTCTGTCTTCCAGGCTGCAGTGCTGTGGCATGATCATAGCTCACTGTAACCTTGAATTCCTGGGCTCAAGGGATCCTCCTGCCTCGGCCTCTTGAGTGGCTTGGACTACAGGTGGGTGCCACCACACTTGCCTAATTTTTAACATTTTTTTGTAGAGACAGGGGTCTCCCTACGTTAGCCAGGCTGATCTCACACTCCTGGCCTCAAAGGATCTTCCCACCTTGGCCTTCCAAAGTGCTGGGATTACAGGTGTGAGCCACCATGCCAGCCCTGAAAATGTTTTTTCTCTTCCTCTTCTTACTCTGGAAGGAATACTCAACACAAAACTAATACAAATTATTTATTATAAAGTAATGGGACTTCACTTAAAAGCTGGAGGTTGCAATAACTTAAACCATATACAGAATTAAGAACACCTGACCCCTACCCCCCTCTCTTCATCCCCACCTTTCCATTCGTGGCACAAACAGAAGTGGGGACCTCCTGATCTCCAGGCCAACAGTCCTTCTGCAAGCAATGCCATCCTGATCCCCACATGCCGCCAGGACCCAGCCTTAAACGGAGCACCCGCAGGCCCACGGAGAAGTTTGCAGCCTCCTGACTCGCGCACAGGCTAAAAAGAAAGCAGCTGGTGAGGTGCCTGCTTGGTGGAGGTGACCTGAGCCCAGTGATTCTCAGACTTTCCTGTGCACAGGAATCACCTGGAGGGCTTGTTAAAACACTCATTGCTGTGTTCCTGCTCACCCACCTGGGGGTTTCTGATTCTGCGGGTCTGGGGTGGATGCCGAGTTTGCATTTTTAACAAGTTCCTAGGTGATGCTGATTCTGCTCCTTGAAGGGACACAGTTTGAGATTCGCTGTCCTGGTGCATATCAGTGACCTGGCTATCCCACAAGAGAGATTCCGTGGAAGACAGTCCACTAGAGGAGCTGCCCTAGAGATTTCCAGGGGAATTCTAAACCTGGAGTGCACAAATATGCCAGATTTTCCACTTTTGGGTCTGGCCACAGTCTCCCTTCCCAGCCACATTTCACTCAAAAGCCAGGACGCACTCGTTAGACTTAGTGATTGTTTCATTGTTTTTAGAACTATCTCAGGCCCTCAGACTAAGGAACCAGGTCACAACTAAGTGACCCTAAAAGATGCGGGAAGCGAAACCCACCTTTCAGGGCCCCTGGGTGAATGCAGCTTTCCCTACCAGCGCCCCCAAATCCGTTCACCTCGATTTCTGCGGAGGCAAAGCTGCAGAGACATTGTCCCAAGCAGGAGCAGCACGCGGGTCTGGGAAAACGGCCATCCATAAATGTAAATTACGAATCCGCGTCTTGAAAACCTTTCCATCGCGAAGAAGACAGCGAACAGTCTTCTGAGAACCGTCCCCATTTCTGCATTCTCGCCTTGGCAAAGAAGGGTGCGCTGGGTCAGGAGCGAGGGCAGCCGCCACCCTCCCGCTCCCGCGTCCTGCAGGACCCGCAGGCAGGAGGGGACCGGATGACGACGGGAGCAGAGAGGTTCAGGGCGCGAAGGAAAGGGGTATTCCGGGTTGGGTCATCCCGGACTGGACCAGAGAGGATAGTCTAGGATTCCAGGACATTTCAAGGGGCACCGTGTCGAGGCCGCCCCGCAAGGGGAGCACCGTAGGCTGCGTGGGACGACGGGCGGCCTGCGGGACCTCGGAGGGTCTGAGCTCCCGGCTCACTCACCGAACAAGAATGGAAACATCCAGGATTCGAGGTAAAACAACTGTGGGTTCCCTGGTATCGGGTGTGTACTATGGACACGACCAAACTCCGGGAACCGGTGGCGGAGAGGATCGAATCGGAGCGGCATCCCGACGCGGCGGGGAAGGGGCAGCGGCTCCGCCTCCTTTTACGCGGCCGCGGACCCGCCTCTCCCGCCCCGCCGCTCGGACTCGCCCCGACCTAGCGACGCCGCCCGCCTGCCCGCCCGCGCTCCGTGTCTCTCCTCTCCACGGGCCGTCGCCGTCAGGGGTGCTCCCTGTCGCCGCCTCTGCCACGCGGTTGCCCCCTGCGCTCTCGGGCCCCGGCGCGCTCCCCAGGCCGCACACGGAGTCGCGAGGGCTCCAGCAACCACGCGTCGGGGCCAGTGGGGCCGGGCCGGGACGCCAGGGAGACGCTCAGTGGGTGACAAATGGTGGGAGCCTGGAAACAGGGGTGCAGCTGGAAGGCTGAACAACGGAACCCACGCCGCCTCTGAGGATCCCACTGTCCACCCTCCAAGCCCCCAGGTCCTCTGGGCGGCCCTGCTCTTTCTCCGCGTCCGCGGCCTCCTGCCCTCCTGGGGACCCACGAAGGCGCGCGGAGCCCGGCGGGGGCGCAGGGGCGAGTGTCGGCTCAAATGGAGACTTCCCTCGGAAAAACAGGCCCCTCACTTGGGTAGAGAGAAGGGAATCAACGGGTTTGGAGAAAAGGGAACTTGCATTTGGGTCCAAGGCTCCGTGGCCCCAAGGTCTGAGCTGAGTCTAAGTTAGCAGATCCCGCCTATTCGGACATTCAATGTTACTGGCCCAACTGGGACACGGAGCGAGATGCACAGAGAGCGGTACCCCGACGAGGCCGGCTCTCCCGAAACTGTAAGGCAGGTGGGCTCCGCCCCGGCCGCCCTCTCTGCTCTGTCTCGTCCAGGCGCCCCTGTGCCAAGCCAGGCCGGGCCTCCAGCTTCAACTGCCCCACGTGTCGGGTCACCCTTGGCGATTGCGGGGACCAGTGGAGCAGTGGTAGTCGGAACTGGGCGGGTCTGTGAGTAGCTGAGAGCGAGCCCAGGTCTTTGTGCTGTGGAACCACCTTGGTGTTTAGGTGGCTCCAGGCTCACCAGCCTCACCCGTTTAGGGAACGGAGTAAATAAATTGGCACGTGGCGACCATTTATGTTGTGGTTCAAGAGACTGAGGTACAGATAGTGGCAGATCACTGCACCCCACACTCACATAACTCTGGATTTCCATGGTACCGTATTTCCCCGAAAATAAGACAGGGTCTTATATAGATTTTTCCTCAAGAAGACACCATAGGGCTTATTTTCAGGGCATGTGTTATTTTCTTTTAAGTATGGTACAACAATCTACATTTATTCAAATATAGTTAAGTCATCTTCTTCTCGAACCTCATCATAACTCTCCAAACCCCGAATTCCATCCTGAATTTCTTGTGACTCCTTGTCCTTTAGAACCATTGGCCCCAATTTCTCATGTGGAGCAATAGAGCTCTCCTGGGGCAGATGAGAACCAGGTCACAACTAAGTGACCCTAAAAGATGCAGGAAGCGAAACCCACCTTTCAGGGCCCCTGGGTGAATGCAGCTTTCCCTACCAGCGCCCCCAAATCCGTTCACCTCGATTTCTGCGGAGGCAAAGCTGCAAAGACATTGTCCCAAGCAGGAGCAGCACGCGGGTCTGGGAAAACGGCCATCCATAAATGTTAATTACGAATCCGAGTCTTGAAAACCTTTCGATCACGAAGAAGACAGCGAACAATCTTCTGAGAACCGTCCCCATTTCTGCATTCTCGCCTTGGCAAAGAAGGGTCAGGAGTGAGGGCAGCCGCCACCCCATAAAGAAGAGGAGGGCTGCTCCTCTTCTTTATGGCTCCAAGACGAAATGCATGGGTTGTGCAGATAGGCTGCGTAGCCACGCCCATCACTAGGTCTTATTTTCAGGGTAGGGCTTATATTGGGCAAATGCTTAGAAATCCTGCTAGGGCTTATTTTATGGGTAGGTCTTATTTTCCTGGAAACATGGTACCTGGCTGACATATGTACAGAAGAGAACTGCTGGAGGTGCAGGACAGCCTTCACAATTGGCTAAGGCTGTTGTGAGAGGGGAAGTGGGAACAAATTGGGGAGCAGTATGTGGAATACTAGCACCAACATTGGGTAGCGTCCGGGTTGGGTCATTTGCAAGTTGTGTAATCTTTTTTTAAATTTTATTTTAATAATAATTAATATTTTCTATTCTCTCATTTTTAAATTTTTCCCTCACCAACCCTGGTCTAACAAGTTGTGTGATCTTAGGCAATTTATTTATATGAGCCTGAGTTTTCCAGCCTGAAAAAGAACATTATTTTTCTCTTGCAAGAATTAGAGAAAAGAGAGGAGTGTGGGAAGTTAATGCGGTAATACCCAGCCCAAGAGCCTGAGTATCAGGCTCTTTTTAAGTGAAGCCCCTGACACAGGGAGACTGCAAATATTAAAGGTATTTCAGTAGAAGTCTTGGAGTGCATTTTCATTGATTAAGGGGGAAAAATGACTACTCTTAAAAGTTTAGAAACCAAAGTGACCCTTACTTCAACCCCAATCCGTGGAGCAGGAGATGGAATGGAAACTGAGGAGCCACCTAAATCTGTTGAAGTTGTTTCTAGAGTCCAATCCAGAAAACATCATATCCCTCAGAGTCCCTGGAAGAAACCTGTTCCATCAGAGAGCCCAGGAATTCTTCAGTTAGAGGAAATTCTCACTGAAAAAGCTGTGGAAGTCAAAGCTATAAGAATATTAGTTCCCAAAGCTGCTATAACTCATGATATCCCCAACAAAAATGCAAAGGTTAAGTCTCTGGGACATCATAAAGGAGAATTTCTTGGTCAGTCAGAGGGAGTTACAGAACCTAATAAAGAACTCTCAGAGGTAAAAAATATGTTGGAAAAGCTCAAAAACTCTGAAAGAAAGTTACTACAGGACAAAGAAGGTCTTTCAAACCAGCTCCGAGTACAGACAGAGGTAAATCGTGAGTTAAAAAAGTTGCTCGTGGCTTCTGTCGGGAATGATCTTCAGTATCACTTTGAACGTCTAGCCCATGAGAAAAATCAGCTTATTTTAGAAAATGAAGTTCTAGGTCGAAATACAGCTCAGCTTTCTGAACAGTTAGAACGTATATCAATACAGTGTGTTGTATGGCGAAGTAAATTCCTCGCAAGCAGGGTAATGGCAGATGAGTTAACCAACTCCAGAGCAGCTTTACAGCGTCAAACCCGTGATGCACACAGTGCCATACAAGATCTCTTGAGTGAACAGTAACAGTTTCGTCAGCAAATGATAGCTACCCAAAAATTACTGGAGGAGCTCTTAGTCTCCTTGCAGTGGGGAAGACAGCAAACTTACTCTCCTAGTGCACAACCCCATAGCACAGCAGAACTAGCGTTAACAAATCACAAGTTGGCAAAAGCAGTAAATTCTCATATTCTGGGAAATGTTGGCAATAGCAGTCAAAAAAAGATTCCATCAACAGTTGAATTCTGCAGCACCCCAGCTGAGAAAATGGCTGAAAAGGTTCTACGCATTTTGGATCCAGTTACCTGTACAGAGAGTTCATCTGATAATGTGTTTTTTGAGTCTTCACCAACCACCTTACTTGCTACAAAGAAAAATATCGGATCTGATAATGTGTTTTTTGAGTCTTCACCAACCACCTTACTTGCTACAAAGAAAAATATCGGACGATTTCACCCCTATACTAGATATGAAAATATAACTTTCAATTGCTGTAATCACTGCCAGGGAGAACTTATTGCCCTTTAACATTTAATATGTTGGAGGCATAGTAAAGATACTGACTTATTAAAAAAAAAAAAAAAAAAAAGAAAATGACAGAAGCAGCATGAACTAGAGCAATCTTCAACAAAAAGGCAAAACAAAATGACTTATATAGTAATCAGATGATCTACTAACCTGTTGGTAACATCGTGTATAGAACAAAAGATACAAAAAGTAAGGACTGACAATAATCAAACTTCCAAGACTATACAGCTACACAACAAGACAGGTGCAGGTAATGGTGAAAGAACAGCTAAATACTAGGATGTGGCTCACACCTGTAATCCACTACCACTATCTGGGAGCCGAGCGCGAGGCTATAGCTCCAAGGTCCAAGGTTCAAACCACGAGCAAGATGAGCTCCTGTCTCTACTAAAAATGTAAAGAAAATAATGGCCCAACAATATATATAGAAAAATTACCTGGGACATGGTGGGCGCATGCCCTACAATCCCAGCTACTGTGGGAGGCTGAGGCAGTAGGATTCACTTGA